GTGGGGAAAAAAAATGTGCCAATAATCCCTCTGAAGTGCTTTGAGATGTTCTTCTGACGTGATAAAACACTGTACCAAATGCAAGGAGTTTTAGTTTAAGAAAGGATTAAGTATCGGATGCTCTGAACAACCCATCCCCAGAGACATCTCTCTCTCCCTTTTTCACTGTTTTTGGCCACAGTTTCTCACTCTCCTACTCCAGATGTTTTTTTCCGCACCAGATCTTGGAATTGCATAGTCTGAGCTGATAATCCAACATAGTGCTGGATGGGAGGGTTGCATTGTCGGAGGGGCTTTCCTTCGGATGAGTCATTAAACCAAGGTCGTGTTTGCCTGTTCAGGAAGACTTTAAAGAGTCCATGGACTGTTTAAAAAGAGAAGGAAGTTTCTCCTGGTGTCCTGGTCATTAAATCTCACAAATAAAATTGGTCACTCACTTCATGGCAGTTTGTAGAACATTGCTGTGCCCAAATTTACTGTCAGCAATCAAATTTACACTATATTCTGTGAAACGCTTTGAGACATCTTGACGATGTGATAAGTCGCTGAATCAAATGCAAGGATTTTTTTTATTATTATTACCAATTTCCATAGATGTAGTCATTGGTGTGAATTTACTAAATGTGGTCCAAAATAAGTGTGGGATCTCATCAAATTTCTGCAGTATTCTTTAAGCTGAATAAGAAGCAAGTTGAAGAGATGCAGCCTTTATTTCTGGGATGTAAATCAGTTTTTTAAAAATTTAAAAGAGGAATAGCATTACAAAATGATTCATATCAAACTGTATTCATGTCATACTCTGTCTTCGTAGAAGCATAGACAAGTTTTCTCAACAATATTCAATAAAGATCCTATATATTTTAATTTGGACCACGTTTATGGAAATTGATAACATCACTGTGCTGGCTCTTCAATATGTGGGTGAATTTGGACTCATTTATGGAGGAGTGAATAATAGACTGTGTTAAAGTTCACATTTCTTTAGTCACAGGAAAAAGAGGTTTAGAGGTACACTGCTGTTCTTGGCTGGAACTGTCACATCACTTGTGTTTCCACTTGAAGGTTGTTTATAATGCTCAGTCGCTGGCATGGAATATCCTGCGTGTCGTGGGCATGAGTCACTAAGTGGTTCAGGCTGTTAAGCGCTGTGTCTGATTGGAAACCAGGCAAAAGTTTCAGTACAAAAGCTGCATACCAGTGAAATCGATCAGCTATTGTCGTGTTTACGCAAAGCTGCATACCCCGTTGTAAAATTAAAATACAAAACCCCACCTACTGGATTTAGCATGTATTTGAAAGCTACTGGTATGTGGCCTAACAGAATATTTCACTTTGAATGCATTGTTGATATTCCTTCATAGTGTTTATGTTTTGCAATATGTGTTGGCTTACAGTGAATTGTGCTGCTCGTTTGAATTATTAACTGAACAATTCTATTCTAAACTGAAATAAGATTGTAAAAAATTAAAAAGTACTGGCATCAGATGAATAACTTGCCCCAGGTTTATAAGAGGCTATTATTGGAGGGAAAAAATTGAACTGCATTTGAAATAGTGCTTTCATGTTTGGAGGTTGTCTAAAAGAACTTCACAGGATTTACTGTAAAGCGCAGTAACTGTGCATTATGTAGGCAAAATCGAAGTACAAGTAACTATTAAGCAAATGGTTGTAAGGCAGAGGAGCACTGGCACTCATGATCCAACTCTGTGTTAATACAGGTATATCAGAAAGTGGACCATCTGATTCAAGATGGTATTTTGAGTGTTATGTTGTTATTTGCAACTTAAAAAAAGGCCCCCAAATGATTAGTACAGACGTATTAAATAGAATTAATGAGGAAGCTGGAGTATGTCGATTTAAAGGGTTAATGGATTGAGTGCAACCTGAAAGCTCAATACGGTTTGGCTCCTATTTGAAGCCTGTGTTAAACTGACGGAATCAACTTTGCAGGTCTCCCGAATCCTTAAAAAGCCAGAGGAATTGCGGACAAAGGAGGACCTCGCTGTGCTGGCGGGCTGTGTGGATACCGTGCAGGCCATGGAAAAGCGAAAGCAGAAAAGAGAGGCACAGAAGAGGAAACTGGAAGAGGTGGATAATTAATACTGTCTAGCTTTAAAATTAATATTGTTTCGCTTTGTTGGTCAAGTTTGCATCCAGCAACAGGCTTCCGCGTTCATCCTTTACCACTTTCAATAAGAGATCAAGTTTTCCACTAAAAATAATAATTTGGTATATATAGTGCATTTCACGTCGGGAGGACGTCCTTAATTAGAGCGACTGTATTTGTGGGTAAACACGGCAGCCAATTTGCTCACAGCATTGTCCCACAAACAGCCATGAAGTGAGTGACCAATTTTATTTGGGGGATTTGTTGGCCAAGAGAAACTTCCTTCTCTTTTCGAATAGTGCCATAGGATTTTTAACGTCCACCTGAAAGGGCAGATAGGACCTCAGTTTAACGTTTCGCCGGAAGGACACGACCTCCAGTAATGTAACACCCCACTCCCCAGTGCCCTGGAGTGTCATCTTAGACGATATGATTTCAAATCCCGACCTGGGGTTTGAACCTACAACCTTCCGACTCAGAGAGGCGAGTGTGCTACCAGTGAGCCAGGCTGATGCAAAGTAATGGAGGTACTCCAGTACATTAGTGACACTAATAGTGGAGTGCTTGGTTCCCTTGAATACAGTGTGGTAGCTTGGATTCACATCTCAGTGGCGGTAATCGTGTTTCTCAGCACCTCATCGTACATTTAAAATGGGAGTTTTAACCGACGGGATATTTGTCATGCTTTATGCTGTGAGGTCTCAGACTGGTTCTCTTCTTGTTAGGTTCTAGACGAACCCGATGAACTAAAGAAGAAAATAAAACTATTGGTGACAGCTGTTCAGGAAGCCCGCTACCTGGTGATCTATTCGGGGGCAGGAATCAGCACGGTGAGATACCTACCTACCCACTGCAGCCCAGCCAAGAGCAACAGAGAGCTGCAGTTAGCACCTTGCCACAAATTCAAACCTCATCCAGCACAGTAGCTGGGGAAGCACGTGCAGCAGTTTGTAGATTCACTTGGCAAACGTAAACATGTTATTAAAAATGCTAATTCGGTTTTCGTAAGGTTTTCGTAACACATCCATTGGTGTGTGGAACTATTGAAAGCTAAAGGAAACACCAGAGGGCGGTAAAAATACATCCTTCATCAGCCGGATTGCTTTGACCTGTACCAGAGCATGTCAATGATGCTAAAAGGCTCAGCTCATTTTGACATTAAGTACATTAATTCCATGAAGGTTGATCACACGCAGTGGAAATATCTAGAATGGACAGTAGATGTCTCTCAATGCCAGGCTAGTGTGACACATATTTTATAAGTTTAAGGTAATAGAGTAACTATTAAAGATGAAACTTCACAGCTCACATTTGTATGTCACCTACACTGTTTTAGATTATTTACACCTCGCTACATTGTGAATTGAATGTTTCCCCAAATTCCTTGAAGTTTGCAGTACAGCACAAGAGCAGTGCAGGAGTTTCCTAATCTGCCAGTTTGTTATTTACACGTCAACATTCAAGCGCGTGGAAATATTGTCAGGTCGCAATCTTACAGTAGTTTTGCGGCTCAGCTAATGCCGCCGGAGCTATTGATTTATCGAACCTCTCAGCGTTTTGAAGGAAAATGTAATTAAAGTGCAAGAATCAGCTGCCCTCCTTATCTAAGCACTTCAGTAAAAGCCATTCTGTCCGTAGAAACGGATTCAGAGTAGGGAGGGTACAGCCGAGTAATTTATTTTAGTTCCATTATAAGCTAGTAATTGCTATTCAATTGTTACCAGTGATTGTCTAGCAGGTAAGTAGTTAACTATTTAAATCTGGTAACCTGACTCCTACAGAAATCTGTTTCCTCAAACTTTTATGAGAGTCTTAAGTGCTCTCAACAACACTTGGAATCTCATACAGTCTATATAGACCTTACTGTGCTTTGCCCTAAACCTTCCTAACTCATTGTATGATGCTTGAAAAATACTTAACTGTTCATTGAGGTCTATTCTTTTCTCCTCTTTTCTCTCCCCTTGTGCTCTAAATTTACGCTAATTGCTCACAGAATTGTTTAAAGCTTCAAATCAAAACTTTTTCCACATTAAACTAACCTCATCATAAATTAGACCCTATTATTGTTCAGTGCATGTCATGGAAAACACCTGCAATGTATTTTTATCGTGTGGTCTCTGTATTAAAGATGAGTAAAAGAGGTTTCAGTAGGAGTGATTTTGAAAGCAACATCACACAAAACATATTGACTCACAGGAGGAATAATCTTGCAGGTTTATGCTGTTCTGAAGACGTTCCTTTACGTCAAGGTGCTAATGGATTAAAACGTTGCCCTTGTTTCTACTTGGCGCAGGCAGCATCAATCCCGGATTACAGAGGCCCCAATGGTGTGTGGACATCACTGCAGAGTGGGAGGGCAGTGAGGTAAGAAGAAAACCTTATCAACAACGAGCAAAACCGCTGGCAACTGCGAGGAGAGAAAAATCATTGTTGTATATTTAGGGTAGTTAGTAATAATAATAATGCTTGCATTTGATATAGTGCTTTTTCATGTCTTCGAGACGTCTCAAAGTGTTTCACAGAATTTATTGTAAAGTGAATTGACTGTTCATTTAAGTGCTCTGAAATGTTACCCTGTGTGGAGGGCGCTATATGAGTGCAAGTTGTTTTTTTTGTGGGCGAAACACAGCAGCCAATTGCACAGCAGTATGCATTTAATATAATATTGCATTATGTGGAATTACCATTGTAGAATTATCAATAATAACAAAGCTCCTGTTTGCAGCTTTAAATAAAGTATATTTGCTCACAGCAGTTCATCTGATACCATATATCCAGTCCTTTCCTCTCTCCCCCTTCCCACCCCCACCCCTTTACAACATAACCATTAGTAAATTTTATCTGACTGAAATTGTCTTTCATTTTAAGCGCAACAGACCTGAGCGAGGCAGAGCCTACCTTGACTCATATGTGCATCGCACAACTTTACAAAGAAAAGCTGGTAAGAACCACAGTGTTTATAGTTGGGTGAACATTTAGGAATCGGGGAAAATTAAAACCCTGAGGACTTTCACAACAAAAGTGGTGATAATTTTTGTTAAGTAGATACAATATTTTGCTTTGATTTCAGTGATCTGGTTAGAATTAGAAACAACATACAGAAAATCCTGGCATGAGTGAATTGTTTTAAGGCATCACGCAAAATCAGATTGAAAACAATGCATTGCTTTGTAAAAAATGATCCAACTTTAGATTAAATTTCACAATTGCAATGGATGCTCGTAGCTCTCAGAAACACAATTTAAGACAATGCAGTAGAGTTAATGCGTTGCCATAGAACTGTTCACAACATCTAAACATAAATTTACCAGAAGAAAAACGTCAAGAAAACTATTGATTGAGCCTAACTAAACCAAAGTCCAGTCAATGTTAAAGCATTGTAGTTCCAACACAAATACTCTTGTCACTTTCTCTGAGTTTCTATTGTGCCGAGTCTGGTTTGATAAAGTTCAGACCTCACAATTAAAATTCCCCCGTGTCTGGAGTTCAGCCTTCCTTTCCTACTTATGTAGGTCAAAGGGATGGAGGAAATGGCTTGAGAATAGTAACATACAGGAAACAAGTGAAGTAAAGTTTATTATCAAGAGATGGTAAGAATTTGGAAGTTAATCTAAGGGTCAAGCATAGACAATGAAAAACTAACTGCCTGTACTGGACAAAAGCACAAACGCCTTCCTTCCTCTCCCCGCCAAAAAANTTGGAAGATGCTGATAAGGGCACCATGACTTATGTGGAAATTGTTAAACTGGTGGACTGGTTAAATGCATAGGTTAGTTCTGCTAGAAAAGCTCTGTGCCATGTTCTGGAGATTTTCCTGGGGAAGTATCTTGGGTTATTTTTATATGATGACAACCTGCGTTTACTATAGCGTGATTCACACAGGATGGCGTCTCGGAACTTTGCACAGTGGCGGGGTTGGACACCAGGCAAGGTGGGAGGGAGAGGTGACGATAAGCGTGGTTGAAGAGGCCTATAAATACAAAGAGAAATTGGATGGTCTGTTCCTGACTGAAATTGCTACTCAGTTTCTCAACTTCCTATTTGTGATTTGACTTGAACGTAAGAACATAAGAATTTGCCATCTTGGCAGGCTCATGCACATAGCAAGTCCCAAACTATATATACTGTATCCCATGAGATTGTTTCCTAAAATAAATTATTTCATTTGCTTTTGAAAGAATCAGCACTTTCTGCTTCCACCGTCTCCCTGAAGGAGCCTCTTCCGTACACTGAAATAGTGTTTCCACAGATTTGTTTTGAATTTACCCCCTTCAACTTTTTTATAAAACGCTCAGGCTGACATTTCAGCACACTGAATCACTCCACGTCTAGCAAGAGGTTGAATACCGGCACCTCTAGCCGCACTTGCTCCGTGCCACTTATTTATTTTTCTCACCTCCTTGTCCGCCTTTGCTACCACCAGCTCAGAATACAAGATTACAAGCAAAGGTCTGAATCCCTTATTTTGTCCGCAGGTGCAACATGTGGTTTCTCAGAACTGCGATGGATTACACTTACGCAGCAGTTTACCCAGGAAGGCACTTTCTGAACTACATGGAAATATGTACATAGAGGTGAGACAAATGATGCGGGTTTCAAATGTTCCAGCTCATCCAATAACTATAAAATCAGAGTGTTCGACACACCTACTCACGTGCCTGTCTTGGACTGGGCCAATGTAACACTGGAGTATAGAATGCATGAAAATGAGAGCAAGACAGAGGCCAGGGCCTGGGCTACCTTAACGATGGCTACAGCCCTGCTTTTTCCAGGGCAGGATTTTGCCCACAGGCTTTCTGGGAGTTCAGGCACACAGTTACCCATCGTGCGGTGATCTGCCGTGCAGATGAGCCACAGCTTTTGATCACCATATTCCAAGATGGGGAAGCATTAAGAAGACACAGCAAGGACAATAACTCTGGCTTAGCTACTTGCTAATTCCTAACATCAATAGTTTCACAGACCGATGAGAACAAATGCATGGAGGCTAGAATGGAAGGGTTTGAAGTTCACATTAGTCTTATTCCATCAAAAATGCGGCTACTAAATTTCAAGTTCCTTAATGCTTCCACTCCCGATCATATTAAACACCCTCGCAGCTTACCCACAATTACATTTGGGATTTTTTTTTTTGCTTCCCTCCGATAATGTCCACGTTCTGACTGCTTGATCTCAGTGTTGTTTGCGGACAGGTTTGCACGTACTGCACCCCCAACCAAGAATACGTCCGCCTGTTCGATGTGACGGAGCGCACCTCACTGCACAGGCACAGTACAGGCAGAAGGTGCCACAAGTGTGCCAATGAAATGCGAGACACCATCGTACACTTCGGGGAAAAGGGGACTTTGGAACAACCGCTCAACTGGAAGGGAGCAGCTGAGGCAGCCAAAAAAGCCGACGTGATCATTTGTCTCGGTTCCAGCTTAAAGGTAAGAGCTTTGTTTGTGGAGTTCTGCTGCTCAGTGGTTAGAGCACTCGCCTTGCAAGCGAGAGGTCTGGGTTCGATTTGCAGCAGGGTGAAACGTTGGGAAAGTTTCCTTACTCCACATGCCTCTGTTTATCCATCAGTAAGCGGGAATCTGGCTGTTATTCGATTGGCGGATTGCTCTTCTGGGAGTAATAATCCCTTCAAAATAAATAAATCAATCCATGACTTTGTGGAACACTGCTGAGCGCAATTAGCTGCCGTGTTTCGCCCACAAAATATACAGTCAATTCATCTTACGGTATATTCTGTGAAGCGCTTTGAGACATCTCGAAGATGTGATTATTATTATTTGTTCTCCTGAAACATCAAGTCTGTGTCCTGCAGTATTGAATGAAACACACCATAACACTACCCTCTCTTTCTGCTCCCTGCTGCTACATCCTTACTGCGCTGAAATTGACTTTTTTTTACATTATTCGCAGCCACTTGACTCACAACCACCAAATCTAGATTCATTTTGTAAAAGACACCACTTTAATCCATCATGCCACTCACACCGCAGACTGAGATAATAACTAGATATACCTGTGGGAGTGGAATATCGACAAGCACTTGTAATTTCAACAGAGGGGAATTCTCCTACATTTGTCAGACAGTTTTCCACACATATCACCAATGTCAACAATGCACACATTGAGCCTGCTTATTTTCATATCTGTTTGAATTGATACATGAACTCCCTGCAAGGAATCAAATTTGTATTCAGTGGCACTGTGAGTGGCTCTTTCATGTGCTATTTTTCTGCTTGAAGCACCACATGTTTCTTCTTTTCAGGTTCTTAAGAAATACCCGTGTCTGTGGTGCATGAACAGAGCGCCACACAAAAGACCAAAGCTGTACATAGTAAACCTACAGGTAGATACTAGTTCTTCAGAAATATTTCCTTCTCTCTCTTTAGTTTAGGACTTGACTCTGATTTTTTCTTCTATGCATTTGTATGGTGTTGTTCTTAATTATAATATCTGCATAATGGACACTTTGGTACCAGATAAATTCTGCACAGTATATGAGGCCGAGGAAAGCTGAGAAGCAATCGGTAACAAGTGATAAACTCAATAGCCTAATTTATTAGACAGACTATATAATCACCTGTTGGGGCCTGAGGGTAATTCGCTGCTTCAGTTCAAAGAATTGTACTGTTGATGACCTACTTACGTTCTCTGTAATGATGTGGATGCTAGAAGTGCCTCTGTCTGTAGGTTCAGGTGATTTATAAGTAAACTGGTGTACACTGGAAAGCAAGAGAAGTCTTTGTGAGTGCTCTCCCTTTGTGTGAATTGGACAGGAGTAGGAATTGCCAACATTAAGGTGCAGAATACAGTTCGAGTCTTATTTTTAAAGGAATAAACTTGATTTTGCAGGTTGAGTTTTCAGGCTGGTTGCTACTTGCAATGCTGGCTCACATATAGCCATTAACTGCTCTCACCTTGTCTCTGCTGCAGTGGACACCAAAGGATGATTTCGCTACACTGAAGATTCATGCAAAATGTGATGACGTCATGAAGTTGATAATGGAAGAACAAGGCATTGAAATTCCCAGCTATGACAGGTAAGGGACTGGTGATCAATACCATAAACCTTTTGTTTGTTTAAAAAAAATCATTATTATAATAATCCTTGCATTTCACATACAACAAGATTACATTTGTATAGCGCCTTTCACGTCGGGAGGACGTCCCAAGGCACTGGACAGAGTACAGCATTTCAGACCCGAGCTGGGGTTGGGGGAGTAAGGGAGGGGAGGGGAAGGGGAGTGGCCGATGGCACGGTTGAAGAGGAGGGTCTTGAGGCAGGACTTGAAGGAGGCTAAGGAGGGGTCGAGGTGGAGTGACTGGGGGATGGAATTCCAGAGATTGGGGGCAGAGTTGCTGAAGGCTCTCCTGCCAATGGTGGGGTGGGTGGGTGGGTCGGGGGATGTGGAGCAGGCCAGAGCCGGCTGCGCGGAGGGAACGGGCGGGTTGGTAGGGGGTCAGGAGGTCACAGAGGTAGCGGTAGAGCAAGGCCATGGAGGGCTTTGTATGTGAGGACCAGGATCTTGAGCTGGATCTTGAACATAGCGCATTTCACATGAATTATTTTTAAAAATCGGAAGGTTGGGCTCCGCCATTTGCTTTCAGTTTCTTGTTCTGCTCTAGGTTCAAGGATCCTATTTTCAGTCTGGCAACTCAGCTGAGACCAGATGAGGAAGGAAGTCACACTCGCAAAATACTCGCAAAGGACAACTCAGGGAGTGTGGGCACCATCTTGTCTGGTGGATGGTACGGTAAAGGCTGTGCGAAAGGCAGAAGAAGAAAAAAGATCACCGCATAGCCAAGAGCCATGGGTCACTGCGATTGTTGTCGTTGTTTACAGTTTTCTTGTTATTTTTTTCTTCCATTAGATTGCTGCAAGCATCTGGTATCACTTCTGTTCTGTACTGAGGTAACAAGGTGCATGTGAATGATGCATAGACACATACCCCTTGGGGGTTAACGCAATAACTCCCCAAAACTCCCATTGTCCAGCTACCAGGCTCTCATTTGAGCTAATCTGTCATTGTGTCTGTCCGAAGAAATTATATATAATTGACGAAAGATTATAGACCTGAAATGTTAATTCATTTTCCTCTCCATGGATGCTGCCTGACCTGCTGTGTGTTCCCAGCGACTTCTGTGTTTATACCAGATTTTCAGCATCTGCAGTACATTATGCCCTAAGAAATTATTAGTTTGACAACTGAATTTCAGATGTTAGAAGCTCAAAAATATATGATTGAAATATGGCACATATTTGTTTGAATGTTGCAGGGATGAACCCTCTGAATACCCTAAAATGCTTTCAACTTACAACCTTACCTACCAGTCTATCAAAAACAAAGTTTGAATTAAAATAGCTTTTGAGTATATTTTGCACTAATAGATTTTTCAACTTACAATGAATGACATTTGTTTACCTTTCTTACACATTTGAAACCAGTACTTGAATTATTTTGAAACCGCCTAGAAATTACAACACAGGGATTTTTCTAAAAACTCAAGTTTCTACTTTCACTAAGATCTATCTATAATAATAATAGATCTATCTATCGTTGGAACACCTCCAGCTTTTTAACTTGTGTTTTTTAACGACTGTCTGACAAAATAGGCTAGCTATAGATTGGTCTTGAAATGATCCCTTGTGTGCAACCACAATACCTTAGTTTGGAGGAGCCAGAATAAGGCCACCTCTGGTCACTTCCATTCACAGGCTTTGTGAAACAATTGAATAACACGGAGCTTTGCATGACGCAAACATAATCGTCAGTTACTGTGAGTTCAGTGCAAGTGCATTGGCAACTTGCTTTCCCCAGTGGAATTCATACATTTGAAGTGCATTCCATCCCAAATCTTCAAACACAACCCATTGTTTCAGGATCGATCTATTAGCCATAAGCACACCCCTAATTCACATGGCTTCTCTATCAATACAGTTTAAAATCATGTAAAGGGAATGTTTAAAACGGGTATTTGGGTACTTCTTTGGTTACGGAGGGTGGTTTGAGTGGCAGTTTGTGGTAGGTTTATTTTTAATATATTTTTTCACTGATTTGTTTTGCATTTTGAAGAGAAGCTGTTGTTTTGACCAGATTGAGAATTTATTTTTCCACGTGCTTCAGTAGTTTCAAAAATTCTAGTGGACATTTAGCTTTAGGGTTTGTTTTTTTGCATCTCAATGTAAGTGAATCCAGCCCAAGGAAGTTTGATGATGCTTACCTCTCAATGATGATGATTGTCAGGTTGAAATCTGACGTGTTTTGAGAGGTTTCAGGACAAGGACGAGACAATTTTGTGTTAGGGATTTTTTTTTCGCTCCAGATCCGGGAGCAAAGTAGAATTGGATGAATCCTTAATAATTCCCACTATTATCATTCTCGAGATGAGCCATTTGCATTGCTAAGAGATGTGCAGTCAAAAACGTGTTCGCACCTCGCCTGCACCAGCAGCCTAGACTTTTTAAAGCTGGATAAACAGTGGAGTTTGGAAAAGTGTGTTTGGAAATTCAGCACCTGGTTCATTCTCTTCCAGTGAGCCAGCAGTTGGTATTGCTTCAATGACTATGTTACAAATGCTGCAATTCGCAATTAACTTTGCACCCCATTTTACCCCCCGCCCTGCCCCGTGTGCTGCTGTGGGAACACGGATACACAATTGGTGAGTGAATTCTGGAGAACAGCCCATCTGTGGTTGCACTTTATTTGATATAAGTTGTTGATCATTTTACCACGGGAACTGTAATTATTTTTTATATTAAAAAAAATAAAGTCTAAAACGGAGAGGGTGCGTCCTTATTTTGTGTGTGTGTGTGTGTGTGAAGGCTAACAACAACAACAAAATTACATTTGTAAAGCGCCTTTCACCTCTAGAGGATATCCCAAGGTGCTGGACATACAGAGTTTCGGGGTCGGGGAGGGAGAGTGAAGGGCAGGGCGAAGCAGGCAGATCGAAAGCAAGGTCGAAGAAGAGGGTTCTTGAGATGGGTCTTGATGGTGGCGAGGGAAGGGGTGAGGCAGAAGGACTACGGGATGGAGTTCCAGAGGGTGGGGGCAGAGTGGCAGAAGGCCTGCCCACCAATAGTGAGGCGAGCGAGGCAGGGGAACATGAAGCAGGCTGGAGCCCGTTGAGCAGAGGGAGCGAGCGGGATGGTAAGGATAGGAGATCGCAGAGGTAGTGAGCAAGGCCATGGAGGGCTTTGAAGGTGAGGACCAGGATCTTCAACTGTATCCTCTGTGAGATGGGAAGCCAGTGGAGTTGGGCGAGGATGGGGGTGATAGGGTCGCAGAGCCTAGTGCGGGAGAGGACACGGGCAGCAGAGTTCTGGATGATGATGATGATACCTGTGGAGGGAGGAGTTGGAGAGGCCGACAAGTGATCAGTTTGCATAGTTGAGCCTCGATGTAATGAAAGCATGTATGAAGGTTTCGGCGGCCTGCGGTCCATGGTCTTGCTCCCCCCTCCATGGTCTTTCTCCCCCCTACCTCTGCAACCTCCTAACCCCCCTACCATGCTGCTCGCTCCCTCCACTCAGCGGGCTCTGGCTTGCTTCATGTCCCCCGCCTCGCTCGCCCCACTATTGGCGGGTGGACCTTCTGCCATCCGCCAAGGTTAAAGATCTACAACAGTCTTCCATATTAATTAAGGTGACTTGATAAGCGAGTGGGATAGCTTGTGAATTGTGCACTGTGGAGTCATTCGATCAACCTGGTTGATTCCTTCTAAACAACTACCTCCTCATCTTTGTATCCAGACTGCAATTCCAAGACCTCGCTCACATCTTGTAGGATTGGATGCATCCTTAATCATTACCACTCTTCAAGGCAAAGTGTCTCAGTCTTGACAGCCAAAGTGAGGCAGCTCTTTGATTGTGGGATCATGCAAGATACTGTACACTGGCTGTGATAGTGTGCATTATATCTGCACAGTTGTGCATGATTGCATATAAGCAGTGTCCTGTGTTAGACAGAGTACAGTTGTGCACTGTATATGAAAGGTTAGAGCTATCTACTGTGAATGATACCTATCTACTGTGAATGACAGCACACATCTATACTGTATATTAATGCATAAATTTCTATAGAAACATGCGACATGCATACAATTGCCAGCATATAACACTGTAGAAACGCATGGTTGATGTGACACGGGTGTTTTAGTCACTTTAATCGAACGTTTAACCAGCCAATTCAAACCATTACACTTGGGATTTTAACCAATTGTGTCACAAGCTTCACAGAGAGAAAAAAATAACCCTAAAGAAAAACCAGCCACCAATGACCGGGATAAACCAACCACAGTTAAATTGATTCAGAAGTAAGAAATGTTTATTAAATTGCAGTTCTCTTGTTAATTGTTGATCCTCCATTGTTTTAATCAAAATTGGCACATGGATACTGTACCCAATGATGGTCCCAGCTTGTTTTAAACCAGCCAGAAAACATCTATAGGGTGGGTGAGGACTTGCGAGGACGTGCAGATCTGCACAGACCATGCAACTTGGTGTTTTTTTAAAAAAAGGGCAATGATAAAAGAGGTAGAGCTAAGCTATCCTTTGTTCCGTCAGAATTGTACAACCTGTGTGTTTGGTTCGAGAATAAGCTGGTCTTTCATATTTCAACAGAGTGGTTAACTCCACTACTAACCATACTTTCTGCTCCGACAAAAAAAAATTAAATAAATTGGTCGCTCAATCCACGACTGTTTGTGGGACACTGCTGTGCGCAACTGACTGCCGCGTTTTGCCCATGAAACATACAGTCGATTCACTCTGCGGTATATTCTGTGAAGCGCTTTGAGACGTCTCGAAGACGTGATAAGGCGCTATGTGAAATGCAAGGATTATTTATAACAATTGCGCCGAATAGCATGAAGGGAGGGCTGAGACACACTTACATAACGGAATCATCTGGAGCTGGACAATCATAACACTCTACTGCTCACTTTAAGCAAATTATTATCACTTCCCTGCAGCTATCACACAGCAGAGTGTATCTGGAAATCCAGTCACTGGGTCCTGGGTGTGGCTTTCAGCCCCTCCGATTTTGCACAAGGACAAAAAACTCCTTCCATTATCACTGCAAGTTTTGTTCCACACCGAATGAAGTCGTTGGAGTCTACTGTGTGCACCTGAGGCTTATTGACTCGAAACCATTTGCAACTCCACAAGGCAGAGCGTTTGGTTGAGAGAGGGAGAGACAGAGAGAGAGGGGGAAAATGGGGAACTATTTCCATCTGCTGTTGCTCTTGGGTGAGTATTAGCTTTTAATGCATCAGTTAAACGCCCCAATGAAGCAGGAGATGCATTAGTGCAGCACCGTGTAGTTACAACGCAGCCTCAGATAATACTATTTAACGCACCTTATTTATAGCAATTTGTATTAGAAGAGAATAAAACATGTTGTAAAGCTTCTGGATGAGTTGTGCAATTGAAATATGAATACGAAATGCAATCAGTCCTTTATGATGGAGCATTGCTCTTTCGCTTTCTCTTTGTATCCTACTCAAGAGAATATAAGACCATTCACATATTTTCAGTGTTTATTATAACTAAAGTTAAGTTCACTCCTAAGAAAGTTCTGTCTCCCACTTTTTTGTTTTGTGCGCAATTTCATTTCTAGAAAGTCTAGAAAGTTTCCTGATCTCATTAGGTTGCTTCACCTAAAAGGCATAGGCTTTGGAAAGCCCTTGTCCTCAATGTATCTGTTCTCATTCTGAGATGCATTAGAAAGCTGATTTGTTTTCTTGTGTGGGTGTAAGAACCATATATACAGGGAGTCCTGTAGCTCAGTGGTTAGAGCACTCGCTTTGCAAGCGAGAGACCTGAGTTCAATTCCAGGCAGGTCAGGGCGAAACCTTGGGCAAGTTTCCTTACTCCACACACAGCCTAATAATAATAATCCCTCCAAAACCAAAAACAATATAAATTGGTCATTTTCAATCTACGACTCTTTGTGGGACATTGCTGTGCGCAATTGGCTGCCGCGTTCGCCCACAAATATACAGTCAATTCACTTTACAGTGTTCTGTGAAGCGCTTTGGGACGTCCTCCCGACGTGAAAAGCGCTATATCAAATGCAAGGATTATTAGTATTATGTTTTTTCTTATGCAAGAGATTGAAGGAACTTAATTAAAATAGTTTTCTCTCCCCACAGCTTTGTCTCAACTTGCTGTGTTGCATAAAGTCAAGATGGCAAATATTCTCAAGAGTGAGTACTGCAGATTTGTAAGCATAATGTAGTAAATTATGTCTTTATTTGCACTGTTTTGTGATTATTATCAGAAGCAAAATCTACATGTATCAGTATCGTAACTTTAAAACAATCAAAATATTTTCAGACTGCTAATTTTTAGTACAACAACAACAACTTGCATTTATATAACTCCAGGGTAGCATCCCAGAGCGCTTAATATTAAGAACAATTCCACTTCATTTTGATGTGAATTTCACATGTGTAACTTTTTTTTTACGTACACAACAAGGAGGTCATGGATTTAAACTCAGAAGGTAGACTGTGAGTCGACGATTTAGACATCAGGACTTTAAGCAGAAAGTGAAACATATGGAACTTTTCTGGGTTTTTGACAGATAGGGAGAAACTGTATTTGAAATTGAGACCAGATGGGTGAAGTGTATTGTTTTTTTCCGTATGTTCCTGCGTCACTCAGGGGACTAAACAGCACTATTCTAAGAGTGTTAGTCTCTTCAAGCTCAACCATAAATTAAATGGCTCAACCGCAGACTTTAAAATATTCTGAATTCAAGCAATCTATTGTCGTATCCTTAAAGTCTACAAAACGTGGCTCCCATTTGCCTTGATCAATGGGATTCAGTACATATGCTTGGTTAAAAAAAGACTTTTATATTGATGGTAGCACAGCCCTCTTTTCAAGATGGCTCAACTATCCTTCGGGACTCGGGGAGGAATTTTCCTGGTCACTTTTTTTTTCCACAAGGAATCGGTCATTTTTTTTTTATCTCCATCCAGTTTTTCGTCGCCGCTTTGAGGCGAATGAGAGCTTAGCACCGGAGAGAACTGGAGTTGGAACATTGCAAGAGCGGTGGAATGTGGGGGGGAGTGAACTCCTTGGAGCCTCTGGGCCTTTCTCCCCTCTCGCCTTTCTTTGTACATGGTTCAGCCTCAAATCCTACCTCTTTGAATGCACCTGTGGCCACCTCCCATCCCTTATCCCTTACTCGGCATCCAACCCCAACCCTGTAAAGCTCTCCCGAGACATTTACCCTACGTGCTATAGAAATGCAAGTTGTTGTCATTTACTTAATAAGCTTCAGCCAACGTGATGAAATGTTGACGTCAGCTGAGCAGCTAGACTTTGTTGTTGAACGCAGATAAGAGATAAATAGCGGATATCTTCTCACTACCAGAATCCTTTCATGAGCGAGGAAGACTCTTATATTTGACACCCACGGCTGTAAAGGCCTCTCCAAGGACTGTGGCAATGTGCCCACAAACAGCTCCAACTGAACACATGTAGCATAAGAATCACATTGCCGGGGGAGGGGGGAGAAATCCACTCTAATGAGTGCCATTGCGCATTCTCTGGTCGATACACTTTGCAAAATATCCGGCGAAGCGCTTTGAGACGTCTCAATGACATGATAAAGTGCTATATCAAATGCAAGGATTATTATTATTTGACAGCACATAAGTGACTGTGCTTTGGTCATGGAGAGACTGGGCCAATCAAGCTGAATAAGAACAGCACCATTCTCTAACCTCTCTTCAACCAGGCCAGACTGGCTTGACCACTCCTTGTTTACCATACAGATTAACTTTCCCAAATTTATTTGATCATCACTGATGTGAGCAACAAATGTGTTTTTTTTTATTTAAAAGCTTGCTTAAACAGCCAGCCTGACATCACACCACAGCGCAATGTGTTTGGGATATAAGTCTCTCAGGTCTTACCAAACTTCTTACAAAAGTTGTTTTTTTTTCTATCAAAGATATCAGTTTGGCACTGGGCTCTGCAATGACACAAAACGGATTGTTAGGCAGCTTCCTGTCTCTGTTGAAAATAGTTTTTTTTTAATATGACTTCCAATTTCCACTTGGTTGGGCTTTTATCCTTTCTACGAGTGTTTCTATTTCCTTGGGCGGAATCCAGGGAAAAGGCGCACTTTTGTATTACATGACAAATGAATGTCTCTTGTCTCCCGATTGTTCTGAAGGAATTGATGTGAACTGAGCTGTGCAGGGAAACACTTTTATCATTAACCACTGTGCTGCAGTCAAGTCCAATAAATGCTGATTATCAAAGCATAGTACTTTATTTTAATAGTCTTTTTGGTTTAGCCTTGTTATGTGAAACGATTAAAGCATAATGTTCTATTGGCAAAAGTGGGCTTTATTGTAAATTCAATTACGTTAGAATTACATTGTCAAGCAAACAGAGGATAGAACTTATGAGGCTCTGATAATCTGTGCTCCGATTGAAAGTTAAGACTGGGAAAAAAAAAGCCACAGAAAAACTTTTCAATGTATTTTGTTAATGTCCCACTATAGTTATATGTTAATAAGATACTGTTATGGGCTTGGAGCCAATGTGACTAAGCCACACTAAATGCTGGTGTCTATCATGCACCATTCACTAATACTGGTGAATGTTTTGTTCTCTGCTTATAAAGATGGGATTTCCTATTATACTTAAGGAATGAAATGTTTTCTAGCATTAATGTATTCAGACTCAACCTTCATTCATGTTGGCACAGTTGACTTGTGCATTTGAGTACTTGTGCTGCACTATTCTGTATGTAGTTCTATGTTTCTCCACATTTCAGAGACTGTTATGAGAAAGGTTAGTTTTACACCATTCATGATGTGTTGTTGTAATAGTAATCTTCTTAAAGTCGAGAAAACCGTGCATAAACAGTTAATAAAAAACATCATTATGATTATTATTATAAGCTATAACAATGCAGTACTTTTCCTGGAATCAAAGGACACCACAGACCCTTAAGTTTCACTATTACATTCCCTGAATCCTGGTTCAGTTGAAAGATGTGTAACTTTTTTTAAATTTGGATTGCTATTTACAACTAACTTTTTTATATCTCTTTTTTAGTTCCAGTCTCGGGAGTTACGATAAAATCATCCCTTAATTCCTCTGTCCTGGCAGAAGGCAGCAAACTGACTCTAAGTTGCATTGTGAAGGAAGGTACCAATGTGACTTATCAATGGTATTTCAACAATGAGAAAATAACTGAATTTTCTCCCTCAACCCAGTCTGATCTGGTTATAAACAAAGTGAATGTCAATCACTCTGGGAAATATTACTGTGAAGCGAGAAACTTGTTCAATTTGTACACATCCAGCGTTACAAGCAATGACACCGAAATAATAGTTAAAGGTAATTCTTTGCCAGATTCTATTGATTTATTTTCATAACTCCTGCATTTGATATACCATCGAAAACATCTCAAGGCATTTCACGGGGAATTGCTGATGTGTGTAGTGATTGTGCAGTTGTATAGGGAAACACACAAGATGTGGTGGAGTCCTGTAGCTTAATGGTTAGAGCCCTCGCCTCGCAAGTGAGAGGACTTGTGTTCGATTCCTGGCAGGGCGAAACTTTGAGCAAGTTTCCTTACTCCACACGCCTCTGTTTACCTAGCATTAAGTAGAAACACGGTTGTTAGTCGATTGGCGGATCGCTTTTCCTGGGGTAATAACCCTGAAAACAAAAATAATTTGGTCACTCAATCGACGACTGTTTGTGGGACACTGCTGTGCACAATTGGCTGCAACGTTTCAACCACAAAATATACAGTCAATTCACTTTACAGTATATTCTATGAAGTGCTTTGAGATGTCTCGATGACATGATAAGGCACTATATCAAATGCAAGGATTATTGCGTATAGTGAGGTTGCACAATCAGCCATGGCATCGATGGCAAACCACTCACCAGAACAAGGGGAGGAACTCTCTTTTCAAATAGTGTCATGGAATAATAATAATAATCCTTGCATTTGATATAGCGCTTTTCACGTCGGGAGGACGTCCCAAATCATTATTTAGCATCCACCTGAACAGGAAGACGTGTCCTCAGCTTTAACGTTTCATCCGAAGGATAGCACCTCCAACAATACAGTGCACGCCCAGTACTGCAATGGAGCATCAGCCTAGACAAGGAACTTAAGACAAGTGAATGATGGCTGTGGAGCTTGAACGCTCAATCCTCTGATCTTGAGGCAAGAGTGCTCCCAGCTGAGGTTGAACCAGACTCAAATGACTCGTTCTCTTTCCCCCTCCCCATTGATCCGGTGAGAAATACATTGTGTGGAGCGGGGTGGTACTGAGCTAGGAACATGTCAGGTTTGATCTGTGAATCTTGAAATTTCTCCTGCTTTTAGACTTGCAACCATTGCCTTAACATGTTAATGACTGAGCAGCATTTTGGATTAATTGTTCAATTGAATCTGAGTCTGGAAGCCGATTTTCTGCAGTTTTCCTGTACTGTGTTTCAAAGACTGTTTTTCTCAAAATGTTATTTCTTTTTTGTTTCTATTTTAAAGTTCCAGTATCCAATCCGAGTATTGAGGTCCGGATCGTCACTGCCAAACCGAAAATAATGGCAATAATAGTTGTTCGTCAGACCAAGGGACTTTGCCAATAATATTCACACTATACAAGAATAAAGTTTCGTGAGAAATGTAACTGCATCGAGTGTGAGACATGTTGAATTAATTGTGCAGATGACTCAAAATCAAGGAGATATTTACAAGTGCAAGGCTGACAATGGATTTATGCCAAAATATAGCAACGGATTGGTCATAGGTATGGAAAATCAATGCTATCGGTCACTTTATTTATTTTGGAATCTTTTTCTTACAAATAAGTCTCCTGTCTGGCAGATGAAATGGTGACCCAATCCCAGGCTCAATCTAAAAGAGAGGGACCTTCGGGAGATAAACGTAGAGTTGTTGGCATGGATCACACTTCAGTTGGTCCATTAAAGACAATTAAAGTTACACTTTCCTTTTCAACAAAGACGCTGGGTTTCTTTCCACTCGCCTCCTGTTAACCCTGTAAGACAATGCCTTTAATAGGTAGGATGGTACCAGCTGGACAAGCAGCAGGAAGCTTGCTTTGTTGTTCACATTGGTGAGCTGTGTGGTTTTAGCTGGTTAAAGTCCCGGTGTTATGCCCCAAAACACACTCTGGGAATTCTCAAGACGTCGCTCTGGCCAATCTGTGCCTAAACTTTCTGGGATTAAGTAAGCAGCAAGACTGCATCCTGCTTACCATTTTCACCAAGTTCCTGCAAAGTGGTGTTAGAGAGTGCAGTGATGTGAGTATTTCACTACCAGCCGCAACCATACTGTAAAAGGGGAAATCAAAGTGTTTCCATACAAGGAAAGAGGGAAAACCAAAGAGTTGTCATCCAGCTTTCATCCAATGCCTGAATCCCTGTTCATCAAGACCTCCCACTCTGCCCCTCTTCATCCCTCCGAACCAGAAAACATTATCTGACAAGTGGAAGAAACTTATGGCTTCCAAAATTGCCTTCACGGGCCAAAGCAGGCGTTTGAGCCGGAACTGGGTGCAAAATGTCCCGTTCTAAACCGATCCTTGTAGGATCTTGATATGCCAGCTTTTAATAACTTTGTTTTGTATTAAATCTCAACAGTTTTGTTATGCAGCGCTGAATAATTTCTGTCATTTGTTTTCTTTTAGATTTGTCTGTTAACCTGACCTCAAGACACACTGTTGGGCAGGAAGTTAATTTAACTTGCATTGTAAACTATGAATTCAGAGGAGTTTACACCTGGTACTTTGTAACCCCATCGAGGAATCATACTGAAATTTCAAATACAAATTATTGGAATATTAATCCAGTAGAGCCTGGGAAGTATTACTGCTCAGTTAACGGACAATTAAGCAAGAGCTTTGAAATACCTAGTAAAGGTAATGTTATGATTAAAAGTATTTTCATGATTATGTGATCAGCTAAAGAATTTCTTATATTGCAAGCATTTACTTGTGTTTATTTTTGTTTTTGTAAAGGGAAGGGATAGTTTCGGGAATTGATTTGGGGGCTTAATTTGTGTTATTTCTTAACTTGATTCTTCACCACTGCTTCAAGAAGTCAACGTTACTTCAAATAATGTTTTTTAATGACTGCAACCAATAACTGTTGCATGTCGACAAGAAACAGGAATAAATATATTGTAAAACATATCTTTAGCTTTCATTTATAACAGAGCAAAATGAATTGGAATAAAAGTGAGAATGTTGATTATTCCAATACACTAAAAACAGCATGCAGTTTTACGTCAGCTAACTTTACGATTCGAAAGAATGCCTTTCTGCAATAAGAGTTAAAATTATGCCTAATAATTCATTCTGTTTGGCTTCGGGACCCAATGAAATTTACAAAGTGTAAGTATAGAGATGGTAATAGATGTAAGCAACGTTTATGCATCAAAGACCAACAATTCTATGGTTCTACTTTCTAGGTACCAAATTTCAGACTGCCATGATCGCCATCTCTGCAATTCTGGGCGTACTAGGTATTCTACTTGTCATTTGCATTTGTTACTGCATTTGGAGGAGCTGTCGCGAGTAACTTGGTTAAAATGTTCCATCAACACAAATCCAGCCCAGGAAAAAATTCATTTGAAATGAACATCGCACGTACTTTCTGCAGAAAGTACCCACGACTTGTCACGGATAACTCAAACAGCGTTTAGTTTCAAATGTTTAGAGTTGATCATCATTTTGCGGGATGGAAAAGTCCAAGTTGATTATTGCTATTGTCTGGATATTTGGGATGCTTTCCCTTTGAGGTTTGATATGGGATTTGACTGGCCTCATGAATTCATCTTGGAATTAAGGATATTCTAACAAGAAATCAGTGGTGGATGGAGTTATCGTGATGTTATTCATCACTTACTGACAATCTGCATAGGCTTCTCATGAACTCCATAGCTCACATTAACTTGTTTATTATCAAGTAGATTGTGTAAAAATCATTCTCTGTAAGACAGTGTCACTGTTTACCAAACGCAGAGAGCGTCACTTAAATCTCATCAAGAATAAAAAAAATTATAATCTTGTCATTCTCATGGAAAAATCCCCTAAGGCCTTTTAAGCCCAAGCATCAGAGCATTTCATTCCCCAGTTAGAAGGTGATTTTTATTTTATTTCCTTTCTTCAATAATTGTGCCATCTCAAATCAGGTCGAGTTTCTTCATCGGCAGAGAGCTGCTCATCGTGGTTTGATGCTGGCATTCCTGCCCTATTAAAACCAAACCTCCAGAGTAGGGCAGTAACCAGAGGATGCCTTGCAGCCCCAGTACTGGATGATACATCTTTGGAAGGGATGCGCTGCGAGAGGAATTGGGCGGGAAGCCAATACAAAAAGGAAAGGAATCGTCATAGTGATAGAGGAAGCAAACAGAAAGGTATTTACATTTGCAGTCATTAGGTGCAGTCACGTACATTCCCTTGCAGCAGAAATGGAGTCAGCATGCCTGTAACCCCCTCTTCCTGTCTCGCTGGGGGATCCGCACAATCACTGTAAAATGCTTTGAGATGTATCCAACTCGAAATGTGCTATCTTTAAGCGCAAGTTGTTGTTTTTGTAAAGACTGTGGATGGACTGTTTTGAGAACAGGATATACAACAATATTCTGATATCGGACAGAAAGTTTCTGGCAGACGCTTTTGCCGTTTGAAAATATTGTCCCATTGGAGGAAACATCTGCAACTGGAATCTCAGGTTTTCCTTTGTGCATTCGCAGTATCCTGGCACTGGATAAAAATACACTGCATCAGAAGCAAAACAACCTATACGAGCACCAAGGTGTTTGAAATTCAGGTTCAAGAAAACTATTCATCCTCCAAGGAAGATGGTCAACCAGCTCTGCTTCAAAGAATGTTTACAGTACAGAACTACTAGTATTATTGTTCGGCATTGCAGGGTTAACAGGAGCCGAGTGAGAAGAATCTCAGACCCCAGTAAACCCTTTGCCCCCTCCATGTCTTGCCGATGAGCCAGGCTGGCTGATCTGTCATCAGCTGTACCTTGGAGAACGGTGGACCTACTTGGCTCAGGAAGTAGACTATTGAGACAGCCACAGAGTGTTGACTCGATTCTGATATTCCATTACCAGGCACTTTGGAGCCAGCAGAAGCTCTTTTAAGGAGACCCCACTTACCTCCCTCCAAGGAGGACAGTCACTAGTTGATCATTTGACCTCCGAAAGCTCAGATCAGGCTATTTTGCCCAATGTGTCTGTACTGGTCCTAGCTCCTCACTGTTGCCATTTGCTCTTATTTTCTATTCACCTGCTCTTTCCGCATAATCTTTCAAGCTGTTTTTGCCCCAAGTAGTTTTTCAATTCCCTTTAAAATTCTGTCTCATCTTCAACATCTAGCTATAAAGTTCCTTCCATTTAATTGTATGGCTTTGTGGTGAAATTGTTCCCGACTTTTAGTGAAGGTCGAAGGAAGTCCTATGGGGGTGGAAAAAAAAGACACACTCCTCATACCACACTTTGCATTGCATTGTAGGACTGATTTTGTTGTGCGTTACAGGCCTGATCAACTTCAATGGGATTGAGATAGTAAACCTAGAGCAATACTTCCAGATATGCCAAGGCAGCAGAACAAGATGTCACAGATTCAGGATTTCTTAAAAGCAATTTCAGGACACACACCAGGAAACATTACTTTAACCAGAAGGTAATTAATGACTGGTACGGGTTACCAGGAAAGGTGGCTGAGGCCAGGATTTAGTCCCAGCTCAGTGTTCCTGTCGTAAAAGAGTTAAATTGCACCCAACGTTTGCACGTAGTAAATTATTGAGTGGTTTAAAACAAGATGAGATAGTTCAAGTGGTCAATATAAGTACCTGTTGGCGAGTGACCATGTAAAATTAGAAACCTTTTCAACTCCCAGGGAAGCATCGCAACAACGTGCACTTCTACAGAGCATATACCCAATTATCAGGAGCATCTTAAAAGCAACCCTGTGTCACTAACTCCAGCCGTAGCTCGCAGTGTTTCGTTTCTCCTTGTATCTAGATTTTCATGTTTGTGCGTTTTCAAAATATGCAGGAAAAGCAGGAAGTCCCTGCTTAAAGGATTACCTTCAGGGGATATGCGCGTTCATATTTACTGTAAAGTATCCTTACTTGTGTTTTTATATACAGTATATATATAATCTAAATTGTTATATTGGTTGTTATAATGTATCATAGGATGCCATCGTATGTTTAGATTTAGTTGATCAGTTTTAAGAATGTTTCAAAACGTTGTAACATCCAAAATGTCTTGAGTAGAGCAATAAAATTTCATGTAATTCCCCTGGTGTGTTATTCTGGTGGCGTTATTTCATGGGCAGAATTATGAAAGATGTGAAGAAAAGAAATCTTGTGTGTATTTGGATTAAAATCATGGAAAGCTTACAGCGTACATGGAGCCAGGGAATCTGGCAGCTTTGGATGCTCTTAAGCATGATGATGGGTTCCTGCACGTGTCAGGAGATCCATATCTTAATTACCCTCAGTATAACAACAATAATAATAATCTTATCATTAGTATAGCATCTTATTGCGTAGTTGAGGCATCTCAAAGCACTTAACACAATACCCTGTAAAGTGAATTGACTGTATTTTGTGGGTGGAATTCAGCAGCCAATTGTCCACAGCAGTGTTCCACTTGGATTGAGTGACCAAATTATTATTTTTTTTTAAAAAGGTATTCATGTTATAATCTTAATATGATTTGTTTTAGCAATAGTATTCTACTTCTGCCAACACGCCAGCCTGGTGGCATACGTAAATTTGCCTCGGAGTCCGCATTCACAAAAAGGCACCGTGCAATTTCGGTCACTTGCAGCCAGCACAAATCGAGCCCAACCACTGCACAAACCCTCTGCTCTGCGTTGATTTCTTGACCGGCTTTCAGGGGTTAAACTGTAGCAGTTCAAAAAAGACTATTGAAAAAAAAATGTAATTCCAGCTTTGTACAACACATGTACAACAGCAGTTGAAAAGCCCACTTCGTGTAATTAGATTCTGAGGATAATACATAATGATGAATTAATGGATTCCACATAACATTTGCTTGGTGGCGACTAAAAAAAAAATTCACTAGTTTTTAATCTCTGAGAGCTGGGAACCCTTGGCACGTCTTCCGAGTGTCGAAAACACGATTCAGACCAGAATTTTATAACATAATTGTTACCCAGGTCCAGGACCATAAAGGGGCCTTTTGGGGAACAACAAGATTACATTTGTATAGCACCTTTCACTTTGGGAGGACGTCCTAAAGAAGAGCGAGAAAGGGCCAGGGATCTTGGACTAAACGGGTAGCTCTTTCAGAGATGCAGTGGGCCAAAGGTCCTTTTCTGTGCTGTAAGTCTTTTAGATTCTACTCCAATGTAAAGCTGTTTTGAATCCATTCAAATTAATATTAATAGCAATAATCCTTGCATTTGATATAGTGCTTTCCATGTAGGGAGGATAATAATCCTTGCATTTGGCACTGGATGTCTCAAAGCGCTTCACAGAATTTACTGTAAAGCGTAGTGACCATGTGTTCATGAATATGAATAAAGCTCTGGACTCAAAATTTATGGACTGATGAAAAAGATCTATACACCTTGCAGTTACACAACAGCAATAACAACAAATTACATTTATATAATGCTTTTCACTCACAAAATATATAGTAATTGCACTTCATAGTATTTGATATAACATCCCGACCGATGTTATATCAAATGCAAGGATTATTATATCATGGAGGGAGGACATCTCAAAACTACTGTATATTGTTTCCACTTTATCAATGGAACCAAAATTGTCCTCCACATCCCAGGAACGTGATCCACACCTTAGTATTTATGTCTTAACAATGTTATGTTATTCTATATTATGATAACTAGAGCACGAAGAGGTGTAATGGACACTGTTAAGACTGTTTGAAGGAGTCTGCGCTTTGTTATGTATAAACCATTTAACTAGATGGATGACACGTGAGAATTAATACGAGTGTAAAGTGGTAGGTCAGCTGGCACTGTGTTCATGTGATGAGGTCACGGAACAGCTTTAAGTTGATTATCACGGCCATTTAATTACTAGGGAAGCCTTCAGAGCCTTCCAGTTACTGGGGCGAAAAATAATAGTAATCCTCACATGTGACAATACCGACTTTCAAATCAGGAGGATGTTTCAAAGCGTTTCACAAAGTACAGTGATTGTGTATCTTGTAGGCAAACATGGCAGCCAGTTTCCACACAGAAATATGTAGCTCAGTAGTTAGAGCATTTGCCTCATAGGCGAGAGGTCTTGAGTTTGATTCCTGCACCGGGCGAAATGTTAGGCAAGTTTCCTTACTCCACACGCCTGTGTTTACCTAGCAGTAAGTAGGTACCCAGATGTTAGTCGATTGGCGGATTGTTTTTCTGGGGGTAATAATCCTTCAAAACAAAATTAATATTATTTGGTCACTCAATCCATGACTGTTTGTGGGACACTATTATGCGCAATTGGCTACCGTGTTTCGCCCACAAACATACAGAGTTAATTCAATTTGCAGTATATTCTGTGAAGCGCTTTGAGATGCCTTGAAGACGTGATAAGGTGCTGTATCAATTGCATGGATTATTATTATCCCGCAAAACAGCCATGAAGTGAATGGCCAATTTTATTTTGGGAATCGTTGGCCAGGACATCAGGCAAAACACTTTTTGAGACATTGACTTTATCCCCTTTCGAATAATGTTCAAAACAGATGGGAATGTGTACGCAAAGCACATTTTTGTTTGCATCATACACTTTGAAAGGAATTGGCCAGGAATTAATGGCATCTTGTAAATTCTTGGGTGTGTTATTGTTCTGATAAATTTGCGGATATCACATCACTTATTCCCTAGTGGCCTGGTTGTTTAATAAACATTAAATCTTAGATTGGCCACAATGTTTTTTCCAGGCCTTGTATATTCCTGTGCAGCACAGATCAAAGCAGGCTCAGTATCTCTCAGACAATGTCCAGGCACTGGTATCCAGTCTCAAAGGATATTGTGCATATTAATTTTGCGAAAAGTCCCTGCCGAATAATACGGGCTGTTATTGCTAGGGTGATAGAGTGGAATATTCATTTAAATAACTTTGGAAGTCAGGGAAAAACTTCATGGAGGTTTCACTCCCACACTCAGATGAAGGAGGACTTTTGGCCCATCCCAACTCCACCATCTCCCCATTACAGTATGAAAGTCTGCCCTGACTTCAACCATCCTTCCTGGTAATTATACCGATGACTATATATCTCCTGACTCAAGCAGCTTTCCCATACAACATCTCTAGTTAGTTTCACAAAAACAATCATTCTTGGGATTACTCTTTCTGCAGCTGATACATTTGGTCTGAAATATTGCAGAAGGTATTTTATAAACTAATTGAAATTACTATATTGTTATGAAATGTGCCTACCAGGTCAGTAAGAGCAACATTAGAAGCAGTTGGTTATGCATTGGCTGTAAACGTGTCTCCAACTGTATGTAGACCAAAGTGAATGCAAATTGGAGATAGTATAGGTCTGTGTCCGGGATGGCTTCATCTGAAGAAGTGTCTGTCAGTGAAAGCGACAAGCATCTAAAGCAGGCAAAGGGGAACTGTTAATTCAGGAAGATGACAAAATAATTAGGGTGAAATATGAGTACTGCCCCTGAGGCAATCTCAGTTGTGAATCAGTTATTGTAGAAATACCAAGCATCTCCAGAAACTCACACACATGTCTAAAACCTAAAACAATGCAGTAAATTGATTTGGGCAATTACCCGATGTATCAATTACCCAGATTCGATTTACGCAGCCCATTATTTTTAATTAATTTTGGTTATCAAGAACCATAGTTTTAGTCAGGCTTCAACAAGCTTAAAAAAAGGAGCAGTTGCTTTACTGAAAGAAGATTAGTAGCATTTAATCTCTCACTGTGGTTTCCAATGGCTTCTCCTCTCCCCGTGAAGAGATGTAACAAGTAATGAGAGCCTGTAAGTGTTAGGTACAGTAAGAGGGTTGCAATTTCTGATACGGAGTACAGAAAATATTAGTCACAAAAGAATTAAGGGGGATGTTAGTGAGGGAAAAATACACAGAAGGCGATTGGAATGTGAAATTCCATGCTATAAACTTGTGGAGGCAGAGTGTGTACATTCATTTGTTCACTGTGTACACAATGTACACTGTCTCACACCGCAGGCTGCTGAAACCCTCATACAAGCATTCATTACATCGAAGCTTGACTATGCAAACTCCTTGCTTTGTCGGCCTCCCCAACTCCTCCCTCCATAGGCTGCAGATCATCCAGAACTCTGCAGCCCGTGTCCTCCCCCGCACCAGGCTCCGTGACCCTATCACCCCCATCCTCGCCTGACACCTCTGGCTTCCCATCACACAGAGGATACAGTTCAAGATCATGATCCTCACCTTCAAAGCTCTCCATGGTCTTGCTTCACCCTACTTCTGCAACCTCCTATCCCCCAACCATTCTGCCCACTCCCTCCGCTCAACGAGCTCTGGCCTGCTTCACATCCCCCTGACGTGAATGATGCTTTATCAAACTCAAGGATTAGGGGCATTATTCCCACCTGTATCAGAGAGTCAACTATTCTGTGGCAATTATTGTTCAACTAACCTTATGGTTTGGTTATAGAATTAGGATTTTGTTTATTGGGATAAGTGGCCTACTCCTGTTCCTATTTTCCTATTAATTTATGCAATTTATTATTATTAATAATAATGTTGTAGGCAAGCACATACGAACTGAGGAACAGGTAATTTTTCAATACAATCCCTCCCGATGAAGCAATTTAGTTCAGTCATCTTTGAAACGAAACCCAAATGTACAATTAAAACAGTGATGCTTTTAATCTTGAACATAATTGCGTTAACATTTTGGAGAAGCAACCAAGATCTTATTTCTCATTACTTTGCGTTCCTTATTCGATTCTCACTGTGGAATAGGGGATTAACCCTGGACTTGATACAAGTTGTTTTTAAAAATGAAGGAAGTCTCTACTCCGGATACTGAGGAAAAGGTCAGGAGAAGAACAACAAGACTATAAAACAACAGAGATATGATACAGACCTAACAATAATGTCCTGACATTTGGAACCATTGCCACTAGAATCTAAATAATTAACTCTAACCAGAGATACAGTAGCTCCAAAAGTAGTTTTAGTGAATTCACGACAAATCTTACAGGATTTAGCAAGCATGGTTCTTGGGAAAGTACTTACTGATGTCTTGTTCAAAGTAAAAAAACTAACCAAATAAATTACTAACGGGAAGGGTGTTCT